AGAGAGAGAGAGAGAGAGAGAGAGAGAGAGAGAGAGAGAGACAGACATATACTGTGTCATGATGGAACATGGTGATAAATTCATCATTAGGCAATTTCATCTCTGTGCAAACACACTCAAAGATGTATACACTCAAAGATGGCCATAGGGATTTTTCAACTTCATTGTAATGTATGGAATTGACACTGTATATTTACATATATGTTTACTTAAATACTGAGTGGGACAATTAAAACACAATTATGAGTGGCAATCTGACCCTCAGTCCTACAGCTTGTGACCATCTCCTAGAGGATAGATGTTTGTGGAAGAAGGAAGGGACCTGAAAGATGGTCAAGTCCCACTTGCTAATCTCTGCGGAAGCAGAGGCCCAAGAGATGGAATGTTAGCTAGAGTGGGTGTGGGTAGCTTGGAAAGCTGGGTTTGGAAACAGAACCCAACTTTTAGCTCAGTGCTGTTCCTTCTGCCTCTGCTGTGCTTTCTCTGGAGTACTGACTGGGCTCCCTCCAGGGGATAAGGAGTACCAAAAACATCTCTCCTCTGGAGGAGGGTCAGAGGGACTTAGAGGGAAGTACCATGTGTGTGCATGTGTAAAGATGTCCTTCGTTTTACCCGTTATGGTGTATGCTAACTGAAAAAACAAAATGAAGTCCTTGTGTTACAGAGGTGGCACCAACTCAGCTCCCCGTTTCCCTGCTCCCTCCGCCACACCACACCATAAATGCCAAAGTTCTTGGACAGAGACTGGCTGCAGAAGAACTCAAAGCCTAGAGACACAAAGTATCGTAAGAGTCTAACGTCTTCTTCCAGGTCACCAGTGGCTAAGCCTTGACAGGGAACATCAAAAAATGGGAATATGCGCTTGCTCTGCAAGAGAAAGGAGAAGCAAAACCCCATATGACTGATGGCGGCAAGAACAGATGCTTGAGGAGGGAAGTGGGACAAGGAGCTTGTTCACCTTAATGGTCGACATCAGCTTTGCCCACTGACTCTGTGTCAGCCTGCAGTCAACAATGTTCCCAATCACAAGGATGCTGTCAGCTGGGATATGCTGCGGGAAGAGACGGTCTCATCAGGTGCCACCTGCCTCACCACGTGAGGTGGCAGTGGGCATACCAAGGGGGGCCATCCCTTAGGTTTGTTCTCACTAACAGGCCTGGAAAATCCAAGCCCAGCCTGAGAGAAGGGAAAATGAGACTGCAAATCATATGTGGGAGCAGTTCTGAGAGGGGCCCCTCTACCTCTATCACTTCGAAGAACCTGCCAGGGTCTGAGCACAGCTCCTGGGGGCTCCAGATGGAGTATTCATAAACTATAAAGCCCATGTCCTGGAAGACGAGGCCATACAGTTCTGCGGGAACACAGACCCCCACCCCGCCAGAAACTATAAAGCCCATGTCCTGGAAAACGAGGCCATACAGTTCTGCAGGAACACAGACCCCCACCCCACCAGCTGGAATATACGGAAATGGAGATGTGGAGACAGAGATATGGGAGATGGGGTAAGGGAGGAATCACAAATGGAGTGAGGATTGGGAACAGGGAGCAGGCTCTTCAGGCCCTTGTCCTGGGTAACACTCACCTTTTTGACAGGAGACTATACAAACGACCTGTGAATTCCTATGCCAAGTCCTGAGGAACTGGGCCCCAAGCTTGAAGGCCCCACTGTCACCTACGGTGTGCACACCCCCACCTGTCAGCAAACAATAAGAAGTCACACTTAAAGGAGTAATTATAATATTAACACCACCTCAGACTCAGATTTTTGTCTTATTTTTGGTGCTGGGCATTGGATGGAAGGCCTTACACATGTTAGCGTGCCCTCTACCAATGAGCTGCACCCCAGCCCTCTTCCTGGAGAGAGCGTTCAAACCAGCAATGGCAGTGACTGAATGAGAATTTAGGTTTGGATCCCAACTCTGCCCCTCAGTCCAAGGGCTGTGGACTTTCAGAGTCTGAGGAGTTATCTTTGTCTACGTGGAGGCCTCAGCACGGTCCCTTGTAGGTTTAAGGTTTAATCCCTGCATCTTTACTCGGTGTCTCACCCTTTTCTCCACAATAGCTTGGTTGTGCTTTCCAAGGAGGAGTTCCAAGGAGGCCTGGATGAATGACTTCATGCCCACCATGGGCAAGTACTCATAGTTCAGAGAGGGGTCCTGAGAGACCTGTAGACGGGTCTTCCGCACCACAAGAGAAACCCAAGGCTGGCCCTCATTGGTCATGCAGACTGTGGAGAAACCTCAAGGGCAGCTCTAGTCGCCTGACCTCAGGGTTTCTGAGGCTGGGCTCTGCAGCAGCCCACAAACCACAAATCTGGCTTGTGTTTCTTGGGGCTTTGGAAAGCTGCCTGAGAAAGATCACTTTTCCCACCTCTTTCTTTCTTTCTTTCTTTCTTTCTTTCTTTCTTTCTTTCTTTCTTTCTTTCTTTCTTCTTCGTTTTCTTCTTTCTATAAAACAATGTGCTGAGAGTGAATGTATTTAACAAAACAGCAATCCAACTAAGCCAGGCATGGTGGCCCATGCCCGTCATTCTAGCACGTGGGAGGTAGAGACAGGACAATCATGATTTTCAGACTAGTCAGAGCTACATAGCAAGACATGGTCTAGCTGTCTGTCTCCCAGGCATTATTACATCCAACATTTATTATGCGTTAAACAATTATTAAAAATAAAATAACCTTCAAACACAAAACAAAAACAACAAAACCAGCTGAAACCTATACCATTTTAAAGGTTAAAATTTAAAAAGTAAATTATGTATTCATGAAGTAAACAAAGTTTCATGATAGCAAGGGTTTGTTGCATATCAGAACAGAGGGGCCAATCTCTCTCTCTCTCTCTCCCTCCCTCCCTCCCTCCCTCCCCACCTCCTGTCTCCCCATCTCTCCTCCCTCTTTCCCTTTCTCATTTGAGTCAGGGTCTCATGTATCCTAGGCTGGCCTTGAACTTGCTTGACCTTGAACTTTTGATCCTTTTGCCTCAACCTCAAGCCCTGGGATTACAGGCATGTGCTGTGCTGTGCTTGGTTTATTTGGTACTGGGGATGGACTCTGGGGCTTTATAAACACTAGGCATGCACACTACCACCTGAGCTACATCCCCCAGAACAGTTAATTTCTTGGTTCAAGAATTAGAGCGGGCTCTAGGGAGATGGTTCAGTGGTTAAGAGTGCATATGCTCTTGCAGAGGACCCAAGGACCCAAGTTGGATTTTCAGCATTCACATCAGGCTGGACACAACCATCTGTAGCTCCAGTCCCTGGCATCTGCATAAATTTACACACAGGTGCACACAAATATACACATAATTAAAAATAAAAATAAATCCTGTAAATAAATAAATAAAAAGAGAAAAAAAAA